GTGTGTGTGTGTGTGTGTGTGTGTGTGTGTGTGTGTGTGTGTGTGTGTCAGATCTGAAAGCAGTCTCTCCACCCGCCCTCTTTCCCTTTGCTTTCCACTGCCCCGTTCAGTGCCACGTTTCAAATAGAAACAGGCAGGGAAAGAGGGAAACTCTCATTAGCAATTCCATCTCTGTACGGAACAGAGAGACAGCAACTTACACATGACCTCTAAAACGTCATTTAGGGACAGAAACTTTGTTTATTTTAAAGCTCCTTTTCAGGCAATGCTGGCCGTGCCGCCAAGAAACGTTTCTAAAATTCTGGGTCCGTCATTTGTTAAGTTTGGTTCCTGTTTGGCCTTTCATGACTTAAGGGTTGAGGACTGAGAGGAATTTTTGGGTAGTGGCTAGTGTTTGCATTTTGATTGTTTTGGAGCCAAGTGTATGGAGCTCCCTTTTCTCCAGGAACTACCTTCTTCCCTGTTCCTGACTGACTTGTCAGGATAATGCGTTTGCAGCATGTACAGTGCGAGCCCATTGCATCACACCTGTTAGCACCTGGGTTCCTTGGCACCAGTTCACATCCTCCCAGACATACCTCTAGGCATCATCATACGGGGAGGCTTCTGGTCCTGTCTCTTTAATAGTAGTGTTATAAAACAGCCCTGCTGGTATTGTGTTAATACAAAGAGGTATGTAAATGGCACAGCTGGGCATCTGTGGACATATGTTGTCTTTCTTTGACTTCACTTCTCATGCACTTCGGAAGATATTCCTTTGCCAGCTTTTATAGTTCCTGGCTTTCTGCATCTTCCTCTCCAGCCTCTGACGTAGTTCATCAGTGGTGTTCTAGAGAAATTAGTCAGGGGAAACCGGGAAAGGGTTGCTGATTCTCTTGGGGGCCCTTGTTCTGAGGCTGGATTTTTACATGCATTGCTCAGTGATCTGAGCAACAGAGCAGAACTTTGGAACTAGTTCTCTCCTGGTTAAGCCTCAAACGTCACCCTATCCTATGGAACGAACATAAGCCACACTGGATATCCCTGTTTCTTCTGTTGGCAAAATGTGATATCCAGAAAGGTGGCGTTAGTGGTTTTTTACCGTGAGCGGTACCTGTCTAAGTGCCCAGCACTGTGTCTGGCCCGTGGGCACTAAGTTGATGGCCTCGTGATGATGATTTCATAGGCTTCATTGTCGAGTCTGTGAGTCCATCTTCCACCATCAGACCGGCTGGTTGGGTACCCCGGCTTTATTTCATTTTAGATGTGCTGTGCTTTGTGATGAACCCTTTCCCCCAAGTTCTCCAGTGCTAGCCGTCTGCTTTGCCAAGCCGGTGATCGTTCTGCCCCCGGGGTCCCTCTGTACCCTGGGGAGCCCGTGGTGGGGCTGCTCTGCATCTGTTTTCTCTGCCATCCATTTTACGAGAACATGGGCTGTGGGTACTGGAGGGTCTCAGCACTGTGCTGGAGGAGGAAACACCAGGAGGAGGCTGCCCCGCACGCTA